TTGTTTGAAGCAGGGTCTCCCTGTAGCCCCAGCTGTCCTGGATTCACTATGGAGACCAGGCTGGCCTCAAACTCACAGAGATCCGCCTGCCTCTGCCTCCCGAGTGCTGGGATTAAAGGCCTGTGCCATCATGCCCAGTGATGTTTTATTTTTGGAACCTCTGTTAGGTTTTCTGTGGCCACTAGCAGTGTAAAACTCTAAACCTGTCAAGTGTTTTGTGCTTCTTCCACAAACAACAAGGTAAGAAAGCCATTGGGAAATACATTTTTTTTTTTTTTCTGGGAGAGAGGATGATGCCACATCAGAGGGCAGGCTGTCAATGCTAAGAGCACCTTAAGAGAGAAGAAAAGTGTGCTTAGCAGGATGCTGAAAACAAAGAGGGCTGTGGAGGTTTACATTTAGCTTTTTTCTACAAGTTGAGTAGAAAGTTTCTGCCTCTCAGCCCTCACAGCTCAGCCTTTCTGGCTACCATCTGCTAAGCCTTCGCTTTTCTTTCTGAGGAATAAGTGAAATATGTTTGCAAAATTATATTGAAAAAAATGGGAAAATGTGCTTTACTTTATGGGAAACTCCTCTAAGATGAAACTAATTTTCAATGCAGTTATGAGGAAATGAGTCATGCAATTATGTTGACTAATGTTCTTTGAGCTGTGAACCCAGGATTGGAAGCCCATATTCTTATTAGGAATGCAAAAGTGGAAGTGTTCTGGGTGCCTTGCCTAAGGGATTGGGCCCTTAAACTTGGACATGAGCCATTTTGTAAACCAAAGTATCTAGACTTATTTTATGTAAAATTTCCTTCTCTTGTTTGCTACCATTCATCCAGTTATGATTTAACAGACCAGGAATGCTTTAGGCTATAATATCTATGGTTGGGCAAGAATTTAACGGGGAGCAACAATCTCTCCAGAAACCAGCATGCTTGTGGCAGATGCAATTAAAAATCCTAAGCGGGAAGGTAAATATGGTGCTATGGACACCCCAAAATGAGAAACAAAGTATTTAGGAGCCTATTCCCCAAAGAAGATCTCCTCATAGAGCAACTTTGAAATATTTTTTCAGTTTAACTTAGTTTTACTAAAAAAGGTATTCTTTTCTTTTTATTTTATTTTTTTGGTCTTTTGAGACAGGGTCTCCCTGTAGCCCCCACTGGCCTGGAACTATATAGACCAGGCTGGCCTTGAACTCACAGAAATCCACCTGCCTCTGCCTCTCAAGTGCTGGGATTAAAGGAGCAGGAAAGAAAAATATATAGGGGCTGGAGAGATGGCTTAGTGGTTAAGAGCACTGGCTGCTCTCGCAGAGGATTCAGGTTCAGTTCCCAGCACCCACATGGTGGGTGTTCCAGGGGAACCTGACACCATCTTATGGCCTCTGTGGGCATTGCATGATATGGGTGCACTTACATACATGCAGGCAATACACTTATATGCATACAATAAAAATAATAGTTTTAAAAGATAAAATTATATAGTTTTAAAAATATTTTTATTGTTTGTGTATGAGTGCTTTGCCTGTGTGTAAGTGTACCCATATGCATGCCTGGTGCCCAGGCATGTGGGTGCTCTCTGAGAACTGAACCCTGTCCTCTGGAAGAGCAGCCAGTGCTTTTAACAACCATTGAGCCATCTCTCGAGCCCCATGGTACTCTATTCTATAAGAAGGATACTCAAGCCCAGAAGAATCCTTTGAAAATATTTAAACTAATGGGAGAAAATGAAGGATTTAATGACATTTTAAAATGTATTTTTATGAGTGCTTTGCCTGCATGCATGTATGTGTACCATGTGTGAGCCTGGTGCCTGTGACGGTCAGAAGAGGGCATTGGACCCCTGGAACGGAGTTAAAGGATTGTGAGCTGATACATGTGTGCTGGGAACTGAACTCAAGTCCTCTGCAAGAGAAGCACATGTTCTTATCCACTGAGCCATCTCTCCAGCCCAAATAATATTTTTTATGAGCTATAGGATGTAGCATCAATTAAAGAGCATGTGTAAAAGAATGGAGTTATTGCCTACTCAAGGACTCATCCACATTGACATTTTTATGACTGGCTTATTATTCATTCATTTACTGAACATTAACTGAGTAACTATGAGGTGACAGGTGCCACGTGAGCAACTATGAGGTGACAGGTATCAGGTGGCAGGCAGAGTTGTACATTGTTGTTATACATGTTAGACATGTCAGCTTTTAGTAATTTCAGAATGTATTTGGATAAGAAAGTTAAGTATGCATAGCAAAAACACTTTAAGGCATATATGAGTGAGTTACCAAGTCAGGGCCTTATCTTTGCAACCTGGAAACCTTACTTGAGATGACAGAAGATTTCATCCACATTCTTCCTATATTATACCATCTTATCTGAAGTTTAGTCACCTTAATCAGTGTTCATAAAGTTCCACAACTTAAATACTAGGCAATTATAAAACAATGAACTTTATGACTACTTGAAATACATAGAGGCCTGAAATACAGAGTATTTATCTCCATGGAAAACTTATCCTTGATTATTTATGAGACTAGAGTTGAGTACAAAAGGAGGGCAATGTAGCATGTACAATTATTGTGAACATGCTGCTGAACAGTCTGTGTTGTAACCACTAATTAGAATCCCAAGAGAAGGAAAATCTATGCTCAACACAACTAGGAAACAATACTTGTTATATAAGGACCTATTGCATTCAAGCTGAGGAAAGGATTTGACAAGTTAACTTCTCTTATGTAAACACTTCTGCAGCTCAGATTTGCCTGAACTCCAAAGCTAATTCTGATGTGGGTAGTCATACCATTTTAACCCATTAAGTTTTCACTGCATTTGCGTTTTACCTTTTAATTTGCAAATACAGAGGCAAAAGATACAAACAAGAGTTTTGTTGGGACCTGAATAGTGTTGGTCATGGAAGAGGGGATTTATGGTTATGAGCCAGTGTTCAGCATTAGATCAGGGGTGACAGAGGCACCCACGCAGGTTTTCTTTTTAATAGAAATTGTTCAAGGAGTGGTGTGTGTGTGTGTGTGTGTGTGTGTGTGTGTGTGTGTGTGTGTGTGTGTGATGTAAGGTCATTTAAAGCCTGAAGTTCAGGATAGAAGCCTTTCTTTTGTCTAAAGGGAGTATTACTTAGTGATACTAGCAACTATCAACCTCCTTGCAGAATGAACTTTTTTGTTTTTTGTCTTGAGACAGGATCTCTCTGTAGCTTCAGCTGCCCTGGAACTCACTATGTAGACCTGGCTGGCCTTGAACTCACAGAGAACTGCCTGCTGTTGCCCCCCAAGTGCCTGCCATCATGCTGAGCGTGAAATTCACTTCTTTTGGCAGAATTTTTTTACATTGTCAGCATCAAGGATAATCTAACTAGGGCGATAGTTTAGGGAACTGCAGTAAAGATTTTTTTTTTTAAAGCAGAATATACCAAAAATAAAAAGTACTATAGTGACCAGTGTTTTTAAATCATTCAGCTCTGAGGATCAATTCATAGCCAATCTTATTTTATCTATATCCCGGTCATCTTTCTTAGTTTAAAAAATATTTTATTATTTTTATTTTATGTCTATGGGTATACTGTCTGCATGAAGGCAGGTACACCCATGGAGTTACCCACAGTTGTTAGCTGCCATGTGGGTGCTGGGAATCGAACCCAAGTCCTCTGGAAGAGCAGCCAGTGCTCTTAACCAGTGAACCATCTCTTCAGCTCCACTTCTTACTTTTGATCAAATCCTAGATGTTTTATTGTTATATGAATATTTCTGAAAGTCATCTTAAAGATACAACCACAAAATTATCCCCTTTACATTTCATCCATATGAAAGACAATGCATGATTTTTACTTTGTGGGGATAATTTCCCTAGGATAAAGTGTTCCATTGTCTATGTTTGAAATTAAGATATTAGGTGTGGTGTGTTTGTAGTAGTTAAAGCCACATTAAATCTATCTGTGAAGCTTGTTTTCAAAATTGTATTTTGACCTAGCTGACTTAATGATGATGGTGAACTTGGGACTTCAACATGATGGTTGTTTTATTGTTGGATTTTTTTTTAAGTATTTTAAAAAATTTATTATTTTCATGTGTATGCGTGTATTGCCTGCATGTAGGTAAGTGCACCAGTGTTGTCGTGCAATACCTGCAGAGGTCAGAAGAGGCTGCCAGATCCCCTGGGACTGGAGTTACTAACAGTTGTTAGCTGCCTTGTGGGTGCTGGGATTCGAACCTGGGTCTTCTGTAAGAACAACCGGTGTTCTTAACCGCTGAGCCATCTCTCCAGCCTCTGGATTCTTTTTTTTAAGCTTTTGGAAAGTAAGGCATAGAAAGGGGATTTAGTTTCTCCATTAGGCCGAGGCATGTTGAAACTTGGTTCCCCCCCGCCCCCCCGCCAAGTGAGCAAGTCGGTAAGATTCCCAGCGGCTCTGTGACGCTCCCAGGAGGGTCTCGCTTTCCCCTCCGGGGAGTGCCCCCCGCCCCGCCCCGGGTCGCTCCCGCTCCCAGCAGGCGATCCCCGCAGGCTGGCTCCGACGGGCCGAGGGCGGCACGACCTGCTGCGGTACCGGGTCTCAGCAGCTCCAGGACTCCCAGGCGACGCTGGGCGTTTCCTCCCTTTCCGGCCACGGACAGTTTTGTTTTGGTTCTTGCTTCCCAGTCAAGGAAAGGCACCCTGTTGACCAAAGGTCTCCCAGTCTCCTCCAGTGGCCAGCAGCCAAGTTTCCACCCTCCCAGCTTGCCAAGGCTTCGGCTGCGCTGGGGATCCTCGAAGGCCGAGGAAGTGGCCTCACGAGGAAGAATAAGTGGGCAGGGCCCCTCTCCCCGCCTCACCCCTGGGCCAGTACCCGCAGCGTCGTTCCGGGAGGTCTCGGTGACTCCCCGGGGACCAGGTTCTCCACCATTCCTAAGTGAACACTCAAGCCAGCCACGCCTGGACTAGGACCCGGCAACCCAGACCCCAGCCAGCCTGACGCGCACGCGCACTGGGGACCGCGGCGGCTAAGAGCCCGAGACGCGGTGGCCGCTAGGTGGCGCATGCGCCCTAGAGGGTGCGGGTAGGTCTCTGGGCAAGAGACGACGGCGGCGGCGGCTAGAGGCGGGGGCGCCGTGGGGGCCGGTCCGTGTTTACACAGCGGCGGGCGGGTGCGGACGCGGAACCCGGCGCGGCGGCGGCGGCACGATGGTCATGGCGCATTTCGTGGAGAATTTCTGGGTGAGCGGAGGATGTTGGGAGCGGTACGGGCTCCGGAGTCCGGGGCTTCGGCGCCTCTCTTGGCC